GTGGATGTTAATAGTGAGGGCGGTTGTGCATGTGTGGGGACAGGGGGTATGGGAACTCTCTGTACTTTGCGCTCAATTTTACTGTGAACCTAAAACTGCTATTAAAATATAAATTATATGCCCTGGCTGGTGTGGCTCAGTTGGTTGGAGTATTGTCCCATACACTGAAAGGTCATGGTTTGATTCCAGTCAGAGCACATACCCAGGTTGCGGGTTCGATCCCCAGTCGGGGCACATGCGAGAGGTAACCAATTGATGTTTTACTCTCACATCCGTTTTTCTCTTTCTCTCTCTAAAATCAATAAAAAGCATGTTTTCAGGTGAGGATTTATATATATACACATACATTCACACACACACATTTTTTTTCCCTCACCCAAGGATGTATCTTCACTGATTTTAAAGAGAGAGGAAGGGAGAGGGAGAGAGCAAGAGAGAGAGAAACATTTATTGGTTTCATCCTGTATTCCCCTTGACTGGGATCAAACCCACAACCTGGGCATGTGTCCTGCCATGAATTGAACCCATGACCCTGTATAATTTTATTAATTTAAAGAAATCAATGTGTCCAAACTGAATGCATCATTCTTTCCCTGCCAGTTTCTTCTCCCTCCAGTATCCTCCGGTTCAGGGCCAGTATCCTCTGTTTCAGGGCATAGAACCATGATATGTTCAGATAACCCCAGTCAATAACGTAGGCATCAACCTAGACTTTGTGTTCTCCCTTACCTATTTCTTTCAACCTCCAAGTCCTAAGCATTTTATCTCATATCTCTAGACTCTAGATCCTTCTTTCCCACTCTAAACAACTGACGTAAAGGCTCTCTACCCACTAGCCAGTTTTCCCTTGGGCTAAGTGTTATGAACAAGTACAACTTTTTTTTTTAATCCTCACCCAAGAATAATTTTCTATTTATTTTTAGTTAGAGAGAGAGGGAGAGACAAGGAGTGAGACAGAAACATTGATGTGAGAAGGACACATCGACTAGTTGCCTCTCGAACAACCTGGACCGGGGCCAGGGACAAACCGCAACTGAGGTATGTGCCCTTGGCTGGAATTGAACCCGGGACTCATCGGTCCGCAGGCTGATGCTCTACCGCTGAGCCAAACCAGCCAGGGCGAACAAGTACAACTTTTTATGAGCTTTTTGTTTTCTAATAGTCTATCAGACAACTGTAAATCAGACCTAATGAGGACCATAACATGTAAACCTTAGCTGTTCAGAATTTTCTTGATAACTTATCTCATAACAAGACTTTAACTAAATTAACAACTGAAGCATTACACAGGTAAAGGAATGAGGAAAGAGAATATGGTTTATAGCTCTGGGACATTTTTTAATACATATATTAATTTAATTTAGAAAATGAAAGAACCACTAAGATCAGTTAGTCCTTCATGACATTCCTGTACTTAGAATCTTTTCTATGCATTCCCATTGCCTTCAGGACAATATTCAGACTCCCTAACATGGTATACTAGGTTTTTCATGACACAGCCACTATCTTCCTTCCAACTTCATCTGTCCCTATTCTGCATTCACCCAGTTGTTCAGACCAAAATCCTAGGAGTCTTCCTTGCACAGTCTCTTTCTCTTGAGCCACTGTCTCAAGACTGTACTCCCTACTATTCAATCCACCAGCAAATTCTATTGATTCCACATTAAAATTTATATCTAAAACTACCTACTTCTTTTCATTTCCATGCCTTCAACTCTAATCCAAGTCAGGTCTCTGACTTCTCTTCTGGTCTAAAGCAATTCTTCATACAACAAAAATATACATTAAAAAAATATATTTTGAGACTGAGCTGTGGATTTGGACCTCCTGCATCAGCGTGACCATGTTTCTCCAGTATTACCTCAATGAACAGGGAGATCGGGTCTATACCCTGAAGAAGTTTAATACTGTGGGACAACAGACCTGTTCAGCCAATCCTGCTTGATTGTCGCCAGACCACAAATACTCTCGACACCGAATCACCATCAAGAAACTTTTCAAGGTGCTGATGACCCAGCAACCGCGCCCTGTACTCTGAGGGTCCCTTAAAGTTCATGTTTCTCCTGCCACCTGCTACCCCGCTGAGACTTTCCAAAACCAAGCTTTTCAGTTTGTGAGCCTGGAAGCCTTCTTACCACCCTTGCTCTTTGGAATCCGGTGTCATCATTACCTTTGATCATGCTTGGTGCGAAGCAATCATGGTAGCATCATCTACCTTAAAGGGAACAAGTTTGAGTCTTCTTTTCATATTTGGACTCACTGCCAGGTTATTAAAATGATTTGAAAGAAAAAAAAATATTTTTTGATATGTCAGTTCTCTGTTCAAAACATCTCATTGAGAATAAAATCCAAATTCCTGCAAATTTTCACTGTATATAACTTCCTATTGCTGCTGTAACAAAATTACCACATAGTGACTTATTCAGCAGAAATGTATTCTCTTATCTTATTTTAGACTTGTAACCTCCAGAAGGGAGGAGGCCTTTAAGGAAGATGTTAGTAGCCTCGGCAGGGATTGGTTAGAATTTGCAAACTAATTGAATTACTAGAACACTTGAGTCTATGCAGAGTTACAATGAAATCAGTTACGTTGTGGTCTTATACCAGATAGGTCTAAACAAGCTATGTTAAAACAATAAGAGTTTAAATAGTTTGTGTTGCATGTCATGGAATGGTACAGTTGATCATTTTACTTTTTGCTCTATTTCATGTTGCAAATCATTATAGTTTTTGCTTCATTTCTCAGTCCTTCTTTTGGTCAATTGTTAGCCTAAGCTGGAAGAAAGATCATTATTTCTCTGGGGACATGATCAATCCAGATCTGCATTGCTACTTAATAAGTTGAGTTTTTCATGGTAGTCATGATGACTTCTATAAGTATTAGGCTTTCTTACTCTTTTTGTTGAATGATCACTTGTAAGTCATCTAGCAGTGACTGTGCATTAGCATTTAAGACTCTGAAGATCATATATATGGTAGCCATAATGCAGACAGTCACTAAGGAAAAATTTATTAGAGTTTGCAAGGCATTTCAAAGTGATATTCCTGGATTTAAAAAACTGAATAATGAAAGTATTTGACATGATCTATTTGGATCTTCCTTACATAATCAAGTTTTTTTTTCTTTCAATGTGAGTAGGGTTGGTTTGATCCTACCAGTGTAGGAAGAATTAGTCCTATATCTGGTAATTGTCAAGGACACAGGTCTTGGGAATACCATGAGTAAAGGATATCCATCAAGAGCCAAGGACCTTAATCCAGATAAGGGGAAGAAGATAGCCAAGGGGATAAATAAGCAAAGCCAAGAGGATACACACACAAAGAAGAACATGGCAATCTGTGGGGTCATGGTTGGAAACAGCTTACTTCATGCAGACAGACACTAAGGAAGTCATCAGCCTGTTCCAAGGATATAGGGCTAGCTGTCTATTCACATGGGACATCCAGCTCGGATATTATCTAGACTCCTCAATGTGCCGTAAAGCCTTATCTCTGAGATCATCTCCAAAGTGTCTTTCTTTTCTTCACTCATTTCTCTCACCACACTGGCCGTGGTGTTCTGCAAACAAATTAACCTTGTTCCTGCCCGAGAGCCATTCTACTTATTGTTTCCTTCATGCAAAACGATCTTCTTTCCATATTTGCTTTACTGATTCCCACAATCCACTCAAGTCATATCACCTGCTTAGAAAGGTTTTTCCTTGTCATCCAATTTAAGGTCCAGTTCCCCTGTCATATTTAATTCTTTTACCAGCTTAATTTTTCTTCGTAACACTCATCACTCCCTGCATTTGTTTCATATTTATTTTTTTGTTTGTCATATGCCCCATTTGAATAGAGGCACCATTCAAGAAAGCAGAAAACTTTTTCATTTTGTTCACTGATACGTTTTTAGGACCTAGAACACTATTGAGTTTACATAGGTGCTCAGTAAGTACTCTATGCATACTTTGATCATATTGCTTAATACATTGTTAATATTTTGTCTAACAGATCTCTGTATTCTGAGAATCTATCAGATTGCTTTGCCCAGAGTAAATTCTGAGTAAATGTTTGTTGACTGATTTTATTTATTGACAACTGTGTGTCAAACATTGTACTAGTTTTTCATGTACAGTATTTTAATGCTGACAATAAATCTGTAAGGTATTATCCCTGTTTTATACATAAGGAATCTGAATAACTTACATAGCATTTTGAACCTAAGTGTAACTGGCTCCAGATCTGGTACTTCTCCCATCACTTCAAATGAATTAATAAATTTCCTTCATTTTACTAATACTTATTTGGTCAAAATTGAATATTTGAATTTTAACATTAACATTAAAATTCTGATCTTATTTTAATTCAATGTTGCACGTTCTAATACTTGATTTAACTGATTCTGTATCTATAGGTTACAGAAAATAATGGACACTAGATATCTTAATGGCTCAGGTATCCGACTTTTATTCTGCTTCATAATTACAGAGTTTTTGATGATGATTCGGGGTCAAGATTTGGTTCATCTTCCCTTTCAATGTAAGGATTATATTTAACAACTAGTCTACACATCATCTCTAAACAGGTATAAAAGGTCCAAATACATATTGAAATTGTAAAATCAAAAGTCACATTGAAATTGTAAAATTAATATACCTGAAAGGAAGGAAAGTATGGCCAGGGTGAGTTAAGGGTAGTAAGAAAGCCTCATATATGTGAGGGAACTTGGAGGTTACCTTCATTATTGTCTTCTCAGCATGCTAGGTGAAGCAGTGTGTATTGAAGGCCACATGGAAGTTTATGACAATGTAGAAGCACATGAACTAGTGTCCTGAGATACACAAGCAGTGATAGCCTAGGCTCTAAAGTCAGACGGATCTGAGATCTAATTCTAGCTCCCCTAATAGCTGAGCAAATTGAAGTCAGTCACTAAACTTTTCTTAAGCCTCAATTTCTTCATCAGTAAAATGAAGAGAAAAGAAATGTATTAGGCAGTGTAGCAAATTTCAGAGGCACAATTTAATAAAAACAAATAAAATCCAACACAGGTTTTCCTGGTCATGTAGTTCTCTTGGGCAGCATTCCTCCAAGGATTAATTTGGGGCCCCAAGATTCTTCCATTTTGTGGCTTTGAACTCTTCTAAATTCTTTGAAGTCTTCATTTGGTAAGTAGACAGGGAAAAAAATAGAGAATGTGGAGCATGTGTAGGAGTTTTTAGAGGTTCTTTGGGCCCAGCTTTAAATGGCTTTCATAATTTCTGTCCACATTCTATAGGACAGAAATCAGTCACATGACCCCAATTAATTACAAAGGAGGCTGGGAAATGCAGTCCATGTGCTCAGGAGAAAAGGAAACAGAGTTGGGTGAGCATAAAGCTGAGTCTGCCACATAAAGTCATGAAGTAGTTTTAGGGTTCAACTGAGATAGTGCATGTAATGTGCTTAGCACACAAGGTAAGTAATCAAGAAAGTTACATGTTATTATCACAAATATGTATGCTCAAAGCCTTAATAAGGATCTCACAATTGGAAATGGAGAATTTGCTTTGAGGTTCTAGCAAAAGAACTCAGCTACATTCAAGAAAATGTCCTTACCTTTTGGTAAGGTTATACAAGAAAGATTATGATCTTTAATTGATGTGGCAGCATCAGGAAGTATAAATATAGAAAGGTGAAGGAGGAAGGGGTTGCCAGGTTTTCATATTAGCTTAGCTAACAGAATGTCAAAAGATTATAATTTAGATAACCCTAATGTCTACGAAGAGTGGGAACAGGGAGCTGTAGGCTCACTGGATTTGGGAAAAAGCTTGAGTGAAGTAATAAGGAATAAAAATTTTGGTCAATCCTCTTTTCCATATTCTTATTCTCGCTCACTTTCTTATTTTTAAGACAAGACCTTATCAAGTTTCTTCAGGTGCAGCATATTTTGTTCTCCTCTATTGCCAATTAAAATATTGTAAGGATTTGAGAACAAAGACCATGTTTGTCTCACACATTATAATATTTTAGCATCTAACAATGCCTAGCATAGAGTATGCAGACAAAAAATATTTAACCCATGCCCTGGCTGCTTTGGCTCAGCGGTTAGAGTGTCAGCCCACGGACCAGAGAGTCCTGGGTTTGGTTCCTGCTAAGGGCATGTACCTCAGTTGCAGTTTGTCCCCAGCCCCGGTTGGGGTCATATGGGTGGCAGCCAGTAGATGTGTCTCTCTCACATCAATGTTTCTCTCTCTTCACCCCTCTCTCCCTCCAGCTCGATCTGAAGATAAATACAAAAAATTATTTTTTTACCTTTATTGGCAATTGCACAAGTCTTGCCTAAAGGGTCTAGGTAAATTAACAGAAAGACAATGAATTTTAACATATTGCTTCTGCCACTTTAATATCTGTGGGATTCTGGGACTTCTAAAATTTATTATTTTCTTCATATTAAATAGGCATAATACTTTTGAGTTATAGTAATGAGAAAATTAAATGAAAAAGTTTATGTATGTAGTATTCCTAGCACATAGAAGGCATTCTAAAATATTGTTGTTCCCTCTAAACCTATATTTCTCTATTTTAATTTGGCGAACCTAGGAAGTTATGTGCTGTTCAAGTTTTTCCTTATGTTTTTGGTTCTGTTCATTTATAATGAAAACAAATAGGCTTCAAGTTGGTGATTAAAGTTAAGAGTTGATTATTAGCTTCCAAAGCACTGATGGGTTCACTATTAGAACAGTATTCAGCACCTGGAACAATGTTTGACACATAGTAGGTGTTCAATATATATATATATTTTACTTACAACGAAAGAATTAATAAAATACTGAAATAAGGATGATGTTCCAGACAAAGAATTATGGGATGGACATAATGTAAATGTGAAAAAGTAGGCAGATTTTATCAAATGAGAGGTTTAGTGTTTCCAAATGGGTGACTTCAAAATGTTTTCATTCATTTATTCAACCAACATTTTCCCTAAGAATGGCATATTTAGCTATCAATAGCTAAAGGCCATGCTCATGATGACCACATCAGGGGGTTTAACAGCAGAGAGGCTCAGTCCAACTGTAGGTTATTCAGTAGAATCCATAGAAGAGTAGCAAGGATGGCTGACATGTCTTGAGAATTGGATAATTCCACTACCAGATAGAAACAGGGCAGCACACTGGACATCAAACCGCAGATGGACTGCAGATGCACTGAAGGAAGTCATTACAGTTTGTGAAATTTGGGGCTGGCTTGAAAAAGACAAAGCTTGCTGGTTTAAGAACTGTATGTTCTTGGCAAAAGCATGGTATTGCAGAATTTCACCAGCCATAGTGAAAAATAAAGGGGAGAATGGAAATGGGAGGATACCACAAAATGCATGATATGATACATAAAATGTTAACTATCTATTAGCTTTGCATCCTTTGAGAATCACCAGATTGAAGCACAGTATTTTAGATTTGGCTGGCAGATGGTATACAGAGACTTTCTGAGTATGTTAGCATTTCATTGGAAACTAGCAGGATTACATGGGACTGTCATGGTAGTTTAACATTCACATAGATTTTAAAATTTATTTCAATACCTGGGTTAAATGTGGGCCCCTAATAACATTTTAAAGGCTTTGTTGATAAATCTGGATCTCGTGGAACAAAACACAGGATTCAGTAATTTCTCTATAATGCCTACAGGGTAGTGTTAACGTCTTCTTTCCCTGAAGCAAGAGAAAAGGAAGAGTAAACCAGGGGATATGGCAGGTAGTGATGCCTCAATTTTTGAATGGAACTTCTCCATTTACCACTCCTCCCACTTCCGTCTAGGGTCTGGACCTTTAATCATCACATCAGTTAGCCTTATAGGGTTCAAGCTCGACTCTGGTTGACATCATCCTACTACTTCCTTTTTCAAATTCCAGTGAAACTATGTGTTTCATGTCCTGTTTGACGCCCTAGGGCAAGCACACCGCCTGGTTAGTGTCTAAATTTAGACTGGCAGCAACAGGTCGAGTTTTCAGAGAGAGAAACAAAAACAGGTGACATTTCCGATCCTCCCAAGAAAAGGGGAAAAAACCCCAACCCTTCTGGGTTCAGGGAGCAGGGAGCGCGTGTCCAGTTCCACAACAGCGAGAGGCCTGCTGGCAGGCGCAGGCGGTGGGCCGCCCGAAGCCTTTTCATTTTCCTGGGAGTCAGGAGGATGGCCTCGGGGGCGTCCCTAAACTCATTCGGATTCGGCTAGGGAAGCCTGGGAAGCCAGACGGCTGACAGCTCTTCCTCCGGGGGGGCTGTGCAGGCAGCTGCACCTCCTCTTTGTCAAGCTTTGGTGTCAACCCTGGCCACTAACACACCCCTGGAGAGGGGTGGGAGGGGAGTCGCCGCCCGGCCCGCCCCGCCCCCTCTCTGTGACCCCTGCGGACCCAGCCTCGGCGACCTGTTGGCAAGGGGCACCACGTGACGCGGCCGGCCGCGCACCCCACCCCCGCCTCCAGCGGGCCTCCTGTTGCGCCCGCCGGGCGGGTTCCACCACGTAACACGCGGGCACCGCCCCGCTCTTCCCTCGCTGAGCGAGGGAGGGCGGGCGTTGAAAAGGAAAAAGAAGGAAAAGGGGCTGGAGGAGGAGGGGCGGTGCTCGAGTCACGTGACCCGGGGCAGCCCGGAAAGCTCCGAGGAGGAGCCTGGCGCCGCCATTTTCCTGCAGCTGCCTGTCCCTCTCACCCTACCGGGCTCCAGCTGACCGGGCAAGGGGTGGGCTGAGCTGAGGCGGGGGCAGGGGAGCGCCCGACACCGTGCCTGACCCCGCGGGTGACACGAGCCGGTTCTTTCCGGGCTGGGTGGCAGCGCGCGGCCTTGAGCCCCGCCCCAGGCCGGCGGGCGGAGAAGGAGCCGGTGGGGGTAGGGGGTGCGGTGGGGGGTGGGGGTCCTCCGGCGCTTGGGGGTCCCAGTCCCCGCCGGCTGCGGAAAGGGAGGGGTGGCGGAGGAGCCGCAGAGATGTCCGGCCAGAGCTTGACGGACCGAATCACCGCCGCCCAGCACAGTGTCACCGGCTCCGCCGTGTCCAAGACAGTATGCAAGGCCACGACCCACGAGATCATGGGGCCCAAGAAAAAGCACCTGGACTGTGAGTGAAGCCGGCCGCTGCCCCGCGACCGCGTCTCTCTCCCCATCTCTTTCTTACCCCGCCTCTGCCCTCCCTGCCGCCTGGTCTGGCGCGGCGGCGCCCAGCTCGTCCTAGCTGTGCTCTTGGCTTCCCTCGCACCTGGCTCCACGGCTTCCGTTCCCTGGCCCCAAATCCCTGACAAGCCACTCCCTCCGGGTGCCCGGGGACCCTCGTTTCCCTGACGGGGGCGCCACGACACCCCAGCATCACACGCGACCAACTTGCCTCCCCACCTGGCCCCTCACCTCCCTGCCGCGTCCACGTACTGCAGCCTCTGCCCTCCGGTCCCCCCGGTCCCCCCGGTCCTGCGCTGCCTGGTCTCCTTTCCCGAGCGCCTCCCCGCCTGCCCCGGCTCCCGCTGCCCCATTGTTTGCCGTGAGCCTGCTTCGGGGTTCCGCAAACGCCTGGTGGTGTGGACCCGGACCCCTTTTCTCCGCAACCCGGAGGGCTGCCTCCCTCGAAGCGATTCCCACGCCCTTTGCTCCAGCGGTCTCTCCTCCTGTACCCTCCCGGGGTGCTCTTCCACCTCCGCAGCCCACCTTTGGGTCACATTGCTTTGCCTCTGTAGTTTCAGTTCAGTTCCTTCGTCTCCTTTTATTTGAAATATCATAGTCCATACCCGCCTTCAAGCCCAGATTACTTTCTGCGTTGGAGTGGAAGCGAAGGGATTCCGTTTGGTGTAGGGAACGCTTTGTGGAGAGTTGGGATTTTTAATTGCCTCTGGTGGAATTTAGTCATTGTCTGTTCCTGCTTGGGACTGCGGTTAAGTTGTGAATGTCAGGCAGCCTCCCCCCTTTTTCCCTCCCGCTAATGGGGATATGAGAAAGGATTTGCTGATACTGGTACCATTGTATCATTTCCTGGAATTGTTAACAAACATGGCAGTTTGAATTTAGAGGCTTGAGTGTGAAGCTGTAGACTTTTGGAGTTCAAAATGGATTAATAATCAAACCTACAAATAACATACATCTCTTTAAAAACTGGTGAGAGATGTTAGATGGTGCTTTCGTTTGCACTCCGTTTTAATATTCTGCTGGCTGTCTTTGGGGGGGACTAGGTTTACTTATAGGGGGTAATATTACTCCATTTACTAACTTACATACAACTACTAGACCTAACTCCTTTCCACTTTTTCCAAACCTGGAAGCCACCTGTAATAGCCTCCTTTTTCTTTCCACTCCTGTACCTCAAGGTACAAAGCTCAGTGGATTACTCAAGCTTTGACTCAATGGAGCGTTGACCTGAAGCTTTTCAGGGAAAAATAGGTACAGCAATAAGTTCCCCTTTTAAAAGTCTGCCAGACACAGTAGCCTGACTGACTTCATTCTGCATGAAGTTACTTTGCTTTACTGATTGAAGCAAGAGTGAGCATGTCCTGAAAGGAAATTCACTGACAGGAGTCGTGTTTTGATTTCTCATTTGGACTTTGGCCGTAAGGCTTGAACTTAAAAAAAAAAAAAAGTACAAAATGCGAATTCTTCCAAGATACTTTGCTCATGAAGTACTGCTAGAACAAGTTATTGCTACAGACAAACCCATTATTCATTGTGACTGGTTCCTTAGATGGAAAAGTTAAATATATATCATCTCTGCTTGGTTCTTCTCTGTGATGCCCGTCACGCAGGCTGCTTTTTAAGTAGCAGTTCTTGCCTGTGTATGTAATGCAGAATATATTTAAATGGTAACATTGTAATAAACAAAAATTCTTTAAGTGCATGAAAAACTAGAAGTGATTATTTTTATTTTTGGATTACCTGATATTTGGAGTAGACATTTCTGCTTTTTATTTCTGTTCAAATGATGACTTGGCTTGCTGTACCCAACCTTATTGTTTGCCCTAAAACTGTTAATTCTTTTTCTTTTTGGTGGTGGGGGCAAGTGAAGAAACTACTTCCAACTGTGAGCTGTTGTCAGCTTCCCTCACTTAAAAATGATAAATTATAACCAGAATAACTATAGCTTTTAAAAGCCCTTATAAAGATTTTTGTCTTCTGCCTTGCCGGTGTGGCTCAGTGATTGAGTGTCAACCCATGCACCAAGAGGTCGCTGGTTCCATTCCTGGTCAGGGCACATGCCCAGGTTGTGGGCCCAGTCCCCAGTGGGGGACATGCAGGAGGTGGCCAATCCATGTTCTCTCTTGGTGGTGTTTCTCTCTCTCTCTCTCTCTCTTCCTTCCTTTTTCTAAAATCAATAAAGAAAAAAAGATTTTGTCTTCAAATATAGCAATTTTGTTTTGTTTTTTAACACACTGCCAAAAAAGATCAGAAAATAGGCTAGGTAAGGTTAGAATGGTGATATTTACCTGGGGTTTTGTGAATGTTAACCTTTTCTCTTGTAAAAGAAGCTACTGCAGATGTTAACTAGGATTAAGTTTGGAGGGTACTTTCATGTTTGTAGTTCTTTTTCTCTACAACTTGTGTTTTATAAACTCTCGCTTATTTAGAACTTGAATATTCCTGGTAATGTTTGATTTTTTTAAAAAAATTCATATACGAAGTAGCCCCGACCTTATTTCTTTTCAGTAAGGTTTTTAAAATACAGAGATACTATTTTCCCTATATTGGTTAGTATGCATTTCTAACCAGTTCTCAGTAACGAAATAAATTTCAAGTAAAGTCTGACCAATGAGTGTTTTTTTCCTAAACACCTTCCATACACACTTTAACGTACTTTGAGAAAATTGAAAAGGTTTCACAGACAGATCTGAGTCTTGACACCATGAATTTTAGGCTTTAATGAACAGATAATTTTTCCTCTTATAGGAAGTTTTCTTTCTAGTGAAGGCTTTTAATGTCCTCCCAAACTATTGCCTACTTAGTTGAACCTAATGAAAACGATTTATCTATTTTTTCCGACATTTTTACTTTTTAAACGTTAGTATTTTAACAAAAATATGCTTAGGACTTTTTTACCCCTATAATCCTTTAGAGTGTGCATGTGGTTTCTGTGTACTTCCCCGAGATTTTTCCATGATTATTATAATCCATGAATTATGGCTTAATTCATTTTATATACTTAAGAAAGAGCTTTTGCTTTGCTTATAGGCATCAATAGATAATATTGTTAACTAGTGTCTCTTGTGTGACTAGAGTTGTCAAACTTGAAACATATCTGTAAAAATGAACACAATTTGCATTTACTTTTAGGCCTCATGTGGTCATCCCATAATCAAGGCAGAATAGCCTGTAATAGTTCAAACATAAATTTAAAGGACTTCAGTTTGCTAGTCATTTATTAACCTTTATCTAATTTAACTCTCTCAGCTATGGGAGAGGCAAACCATATGTATAGAAAGTAGTTTCTTAACTCCATTTAAAGAAGGTATAGAACGCTTAAAACATCCATAATGTTTAAAGTGTAGACAAACACAATTTTAAAATTTATAATTCTTTTTTTTTTATCCTCACCCGAGGACATTTTTCCATTTTTTGTACAGATAGAGTGGGAGGGAGAGAGAGGAAGAGATAGAGAGAGAGAAACATCGATGTGAAAGGGACACATTGAGTGGCTGCCACCCGCACGACCAACCAGGGCCGGGGACAAACTGCAACCGAAGTACGTGCCCTTAGTGGGAACAGAACCCGGGTCTCTCTGGACCACAGGCCAACGCTCTAACCGCTGAGCCAAACCGGCCAGGGCTAAATTTATAATTCTTAATTAAAAAAATATTCTTAACTGAAATGGAATCATCACAAAGAAAGATTCTTAACTGATTTAACAACCTTTAGTGTTCTTTTTTGATGTGAATAATTTTCTTTATACTTTTTAAATTTACTGTTCTTGAGCATTTACATTGCAGCATGTAACATTTATGTTAATGGCAATAATGGCTGCATTTTTTTAATCCATATTATTTCCAGTTAATATCCAGGGACACTTCATTCCAGTTACCATCTGCCTTACATTCTCAACAACAAAATCAAAGTCATGTTCTTATTAAGTATCTGTTATAGGATGCAGTATGGATATTTGTGTGGATCTAGACCTATTTAACTTTAAGTGTGGAAACTTTTTTTTAAGTGAGAATTTGAATCTTTTGAATATGTAGAAGGTGAATTTATATTTGAATTAATGCTCTGTATAACCATTGAAAATGTAAGATTCTGAAATGTACTAAAATTAATTACCTTTTTAAGCTGCTGTATTGATTTTTTTTTTTTTTTTTTTTTTATCCTCACCCGAGGACATTTTTTCCATTCTTTGTACAGATAGAGTGGGAGGGAGAGAGAGAGAGAGAAACATCGATGTGAAAGGGACACATCGAGTGGCTGCCACCCGCACGACCGACCAGCGCCGGGGACAAACTGCAACCGAAGTACGCGCCCTTAGCGGGAACCGAACCCGGGTCTCTCTGGACCGCAGGCTGATGCTCTAACCGCTGAGCCAAACTGGCCAGGGCGCTGCTGTATTGATTTTTAATGTCGTAAGGACATGCAATGGGTGCTTTATATATTGTCAGGAAAGTATCTGGTAACTGGGATTTGATTTGCAAGAAGATGCATGTGAGTAAGATATTAAGTGGAAGATCTGTCCCAAAATATCTCCTGTTTAGAAAAAATGTAACTGGGGCATTCCAAATGGATCTTGTTTTACAGACAGTTATTTTATAGTTAATGTAATTCTTTCCCGTAAGAATTAACCATATGATTTATATTCAATTTTCATTATTTGACCTATTCTGTCACTTAGTCTTCAACATTTCTGAAATAAAATGGTAATGGAGTCATTAAAGTGGTAATAAGATTTGACTTTGTCAAATGACAAATGTCAGATGCCTGAGGTATATAGCAGAACTCCATAAATGTAAAGGTTTTTTTTTCTCCTTGATATATATATAATTATATTTCTGAATAGTATGTATCTTAAAAGAGAAACTCTGAAGTGAACTTGACATATAACCATTTTGGTAGCTGCCTTATTTGTAATTAGCAAATTCTAAAATATCTTTGTGAAGTAATTAGGCTTCACTGGTGGATTTGTTTTAAGAAATACTATTAGACTTCTCACATTTATTTTTTATCCTTATAACAATGCTTCTTATGTTTACTGTATATTCTGTATACCTGAGTAAATCTTAAAGATATCTTTGAATTTAATTTAGAGTGCCAGGTGAGAAATGAAACTTCATATGACATTACTTGGCTTTTTTTCTCTCTCATTTGATTTGTGAATAACTTGTCTAAAGTATTTAATAAGATATTTTTAAAGTACATTAATTGTTAAAAATCCATTTAAATTGTTAGAATTGCTTTAATTTAAATAAGATTGTTTATTTTGGCCCTGATTATAATTTAGATATTTAATGTGAAAGTTAACCATAATGCATAGAAAGTTGCTTCTGTTGTTTTTTTTTCTTCAATTCCAAAGTACGTAATTCCACTTCTCCCTTAAAATCAAAGAAGAAAAATAAACTTAAAGTCTTCTTGGCAAGAGGTTGGAGCCCTAGCAAGAAGAAGTAGGGTTAGATTTTCAAAGTAAAGGCTTAGTATTTGCTCTTCCTGTTCTTTTTAGTGGCTGAAGTGGCATTTCCGTTACTTTGTGTTCTGTCTCAGTATGTTCCCAGTTAAACTGCTTTATACATTTCTGTAGAGATTTAAAATTTTTGGATTTAACTTTTTAGAATTTTATATGTTGTGTATATGCTTTTCTTTTCATGGAGAACAGTTTCTGGACATAAGATTTTCCTAATGATAATCATTTAAGGGAATTTTTATGAACATAAACCTTGGTATTAAATATTATGTTTA